AATGGAGGTTTCATGGGGAAATCATGAAGAAGTAGCGGATGTTTCACTGCCATGTTTGAATATCTGAATACCGGAGGGTAATTGTCAGTCGTCTATATATCTATACACATCTATACACTACATAGTTGATTAAGGACAGGTTGCAATTCGCCATCACCTTCTGTGCTTTCTGGCTTCAACCCGCACGAAAAAGGAGATCAACATCGCGGGTAGATGCGGGTAGGAAACTTAAACAGATGTTTAGTGCGCACACCCATCCAGATTTTCACAAAATCCCACCAAGGCATGCTATGCATAGCTAAGTGATACCCATTGATAACCCACTTTTCATCACGTTTCCATCTTTTTAGGTGTGACGTCTGTTGTTTCAAGGTTCGAACCGCCCGTAGCAATACACAAGAAAAATGGTCGTTGCTCTGGGTGATTCCACCAACGCCATGGGCTTCAGCAGCGCCCCACAGCATGCCACCTCTCCTGCTCCAGCTCCAGGGTTTGGAAATGACCCAATGACCCAAGCGGATTGGAAAAGCCAAGAGTTACTGCAAACATATCACAAATGATCACTTAAATGTTAATACCTTGCACATAATTTACATATATTTACATAATTATGTGAACATGTGTGAGCCATGTCCAGTCACTGAACTATGATGGAATCAAGAATTTGGAAGTTCCAAACATTAGTTGAACTGATTCCAGACTCCTTTCTACTGTCTAGAGAGACTGTCAGCTCTCCTTCTACCACATCAAACTTGGTTGAAATACCAGCATGTTTGGGGTGAAATGCCTAGGCCGTTCTTGGTTTCAACATGTTTCAACCCGTTCCACAAACATGTCTTTATTTGAAGTCAATATTGAGCATTCTCGCCAGAGTAGAGGGATGTACGCAAACACATGCATAAGATTTGATATGTTCAAGATTGTTCAAGTTACCGCCCTTGGTGAATGATTCCCCCCCTTCCCTGACCAAAACATACCAAAACCATGGTCGATTTCTCCGTAAGCCTTGAGCTCCAACACAGGATCGTGACATTTCTAGTCACGGGACATGCCAACACTAAGCGCTGCGACGTTGAACACAATCCGTTGGCTTCCCAAAAGTGGCTTCAGGATGGGCTCCAAGCTAATCGTGAACAGCCAGTGAACAGCCAACACCCTGGCATTCTGAATCATTGGGACACCATGGGACAACCAAGAATCTCATGTTTAAGGTGTTTTGCTTCGGTAATCTTCGGTATTTCAGTGAATTTCAGTGGCCTCATATTTTGGCGATCATCAAGTAACTAGCCAATACTGGCAACCAGGGTTGACGTCTGCTACTTCCATCCCATGATTCCTAATTCAAACCTCGTACTTAAGATGTTTCACATGGTCAAACACATGCATGTATGTAGCGGTGATTCCCCGGGACATGAGTAACATTGAGTAACATCATTCTAGGGATAAAAATGGATAAACTTAACTTGATCCTGGTACACTGATACGTTACCAATGGCACCCATCCAGGCTCACGGAGTCGCTCTAAGGGATTCTAGTGGAGGTCAGTGGAACGGCTTCCCTTGGAGTTTGGTCATTGACCATTGAGACTATAGGCCCTATAGGCCCTAAAGGCCCTATAGGCTGAAAACTCCAAGCTGAAGTCTCCCACTGCCGGATGCCATCAATTCCCAGCTGGTGGTCTGAACAAGTCCGGAGCGTATGCGCTCGCGGCACCAGCACTAGCATCAGTCAGCAGTTCCATTGGTGGTTTGGGAGTTTGGCCTTTGGATTCGCAGGATTCCCCCCAAAAAAATGAAGCCAAAATAACCCAAACCAACAAAGAATTCCCTTGCTGGCCGAACGCGGTTCAACTAGATATCACAAAAAACAAATAGTGCACAGCCAAAACGTCCAGTTATCTCTCGGCGCGGCACGAGGCAAGGGCCCCAACGTCTGAGCTCCAACTAACTTAGGGTAGCAGATACACCAGAAAACAATCAATGGAATCATCTGGATTTATAATGATTTATATCCATTATCAGTACAACCAATTGATGGAGATACACAAAATATTAATGGCTGGATTTCATCAACGGATTGTTGGAAACATCTTCACCTGTAAACCTGCAGGTGTTGATATGTGTTGACCCTCACATGTATATATATAGACTATAGAGATGTTTTTACCCTAACATCTCCCAGGATCCAAGTCTGGGATTTTTCAGACATTGGAGGACTCACGGAATAACTTGCCAGGCACCAAAGGATGGTTTGTTTTTTTTTGGTGCCCCAAATCTTCAATTGGTTGATTATCATGTTCCCTCTGAACATTCTATAAACTTTGTATAAACCATTGGCATACCCCAAGTTTCAGTTACGCCCTATGTGTACCAAAAAAACAAACATATACAAACATGTTGGTGATAGACGATCCCATGCTATTCCCATAAAATGGTTGGTTTTATACCATTTCATACCTCCCTGACATGGTGTGCGTTGAACCAAACCATGTTAGACCATTATGATCCATTATCATCCCCATGTAATCTCCATTTTAGTGGTTATCCTGATGTATAGTTGATCAATATTGGTGACCTTCTGGCCTTCTGGTAAATAACATAAGTATGGAACATCACCATTTTTAGTATGTAAATCAGCTATGTCTATGGCCATTTTCGATAGCTATGTTAGTATACCAGAGGGTATTCCATCATTATTAACCAATTATTAACCACTATGAACACATCTTAACCCATGATTAATCATCATTATCATATCCATTAGTTGGTCAATATTGGTATCATCCCGTTGTCCCCTCATTGAACTGGGGTTCATACCCCCATCATGGTCAGAACTGGATGGCCGGGAGACGGCCGGACCTTGGCGCACTATGAATTCACCGCGCAACGATGCCTGTGGCCACCGTGGGTGTCGCTTGGTATCATTTGTTTGAAGTGGAAGACGTTAAGGAACCGTTAGGGAAGGGATTCTGAGACCTTCTGTTGCATATCTGTTGATATCATCTAGGGATTCTGACATCTTCTGTTGATATCATCTGGTAATCTAGTCATGTCTAGTCTGAGTAGCCCTTCTGAATTACTTGGGATCTTCGAAGGGATGATCTGGAGTTCAAGTATCTTCTAGCCATGGGAAATGGATGAAAATGGCCCGTTTATATATGATTTATGATGATTATATGATGATTTATACTTAGTCCGTAATCCTCTTAACATCTCTTAACCAATTTTAGTTGTCCACTTCCCAAAGTGTCAAAATTTACCCAGCCGGGTCAGCTCCAATCATTCACGCCTCCCAACTCAGGAGCCTGTCGAGTAATCACACATGGGATGAACCCACCAGAATCCATCAAACATGAATCTGGGTAAATTATAATATTTCACTAACCTGAATCTTGCGGCCATAAAAGGGGATGATTCCCCTATAAAAACCATGATTACCAGTGAGGGAGAACAGTGAGGTCGTTATAATTTACCCAGATGAATGGTTTTCAGATCAACTACCAACTACCTTCAATCTCTTTGATCTTCACGACCAATGGTCACAATGGTCACCGTGCCCTCCATGAAACATGCCGGAAATTCAGAAATCCCTCAGAAAAAAGGAACTATTCACGGGAAAATCATCGATTTCCATAGTGGATTTCCCATGGATTTCCCACTGCAACGGAGCTGATTTCCATGTCGGGTCTCCTCCATCCTACACGCGGATCGGCCTGGCCGTCGCCCCAAGAAAGACAGCAAGCGATGGACCTAGGTCAAACAGATGGGATCTAAGTCATACCCCCTTCCCCCCAAAAAAAATATCTAACAAAACCCTAAGCTATATTATTCTATATTCATATATATTCATGTTCATCCCCCCAAAAAATATGCTGCTAGTTTGATGATCCATCCCCACATGGGAATGGGTCATTTTTCAAAACTTGCTTCAGCTCCGCCAAACAATCACTCCTTAAGCGCGCCACAGGGCGCCAATAGCTCACCTGGTCGGACTTCCAGTGGGGAAAGCCATCCGTTGGTTCGGTTTAACCCCTGTTTAACCCATTTTTTGGGGGGATGTCATGCATCAAAAATCACGGATTCACCTCAAAATCTATGGTTGAAATCCCTCAAAATTGATGAAATCCTGTGATTTCGCTCATAAATCACGTCACCTCAAAGTCCATAGTCGAGATGGCAACATGGCAAGAGTCTTGTTGACCAATGACGATTCCTTTGACAACGACGATCACGCGCACCTTGGGGCGAGAAAGCGTGGACCTGGGCAAGGAAGCAAGGCCAGGGAGCCCTGCGGCGACCTATTTTCGACTTGCGCTCAGAAACAACAATTGCAACCACCAAGCAAAATATAGTTGGTCTATGCTGGTCTATGCTGGTCTAATGTGTTCCAATATGTTCCAATGAAAAAACATCAAAAAAGCGCCATTGTTCATCGTTAAAACTGTGGACAACCCAGCCTGGCCGAAACCCCATGGCCAAGATCTCTGGAACCAGCCTGACCAGCCTTGGCCTTGGCATCTTCGTTGAAAACTCTGGAAAGTTCTGGGTGGGTTGAAGGGAAAACACCGTTTTAACATGTTTTAAAGCAATATATAGCAATATTAATCTGGTTTCAACCAATGGTGAGCTGGTGGTTTTGGCTTGGTGGCTTTCAATTTCATGTGTCCAAATTGACATCGTGAATCTTGAAAACATATTTCAGAATTCACCTTAACTTGAATTGTTGGGTCATTTGGCAGTTATCATCAGTTATCAATACCCCGTTATCCAATTCGCACCAATCCGAATAGCTCCGCTGCGGGTTTGTCTGAAAATAGGGCACCATCCTGCACGGATTTTCAACAATGACCTGCAGGTAGTCCTACTGTTCCCCTCCATATCCTGGTTTTAAAGATTTTAAAGGAATAAGTCTGAGATAGTCTGAGCCCAAAACTCCCCCTTTATGCTCAAGGTTGACTCCACACACAGCCAACAGTCAGCGCAGGGTCCGGATCTTTTCGCCTAAGTCAACTCCTGATGCTCAGAATATCCATGTTGGCCATTGACCTTGGAAACCAGGCGGATTCCTCCTTTTCCTTCTCTATTTGGGTACCTCTCTGAGCCACCCCTATAAATATCATAAGGGTAACGCACCCAGATTTCGTCCAGAATTTGGGAATGTTCAGGTCTGTGGAGGGAAGATTCGCCCTGAAGGACTCCATTTTGGGCGTGACTTTTGGTCGTGCCAACACAGCTCCAATATGTTCAACTGGGGCGATTTCACAACCAGAACATGCCATTGGGGCAAAAATACTCGAATCAAATGCTTCCTGAAGGGTCGGGTTTCTTTTTTCAACTGGCTATTTCCATCCATCCATCGATTTATATTCCATTATTCAAAACTTTATCATTCTATCCATCCATTTACCCTCTGGTAATTAAAGAGCGATCAACAGATCGACCAGTGCAATTTTTTGTATAGGTAGATCATCTATATCTGGGTCATTTCCATAATTAGCTCAAACTAATGTTGCAGTTGCACACACACACACATATATATATATATGTGAGATGTGTTATATTTGTTTGGGATGGGATTACCTATGATTAACTACAATTTTCGATTGTCATGTTCCTGTTGATCTCATATCCCTATCAAATTATATTTAAAAAAAATCCGATGCCCTCTGTATCAAACATTGCCCGCTGGAAAATCCCCTGTTGAGTTTGATTCTTTTTCCCAACTATTAACCTCCCCGGCTAGTGTGAGGGTTTCCCAGCTAGCCACGTTTTATTACTGAAGGGTACAGTATAACTCGGATTAGCCACCGGTGTCGGTAGTTAAGTCCCGATCTCCAATCCCCAGAAAAAATCCTAAAATCAAACATGGCTTGCTGCAGCAGCCAATTTGGTTTGATGATTTTTGCAGCTATAAAGCTCCATTTCGTTCATAGATTTCATTGGACTTCCCATATCCCTATATATATTATATATATATATCCCATAGGATCCATGTATGGTATATATGCTAACATTTGGGGTATGTTGATGGTAAATGTTACCATATATAGCATACATGGATCCTATGGGTATGATTCTCCCAGCGAACTAAAACCTCCATGGAGTTCATGGATCCCATTTTTCTGCTGTCCCTTCTCCCCATGGCAAGCTACAAAGATAGCCTTTCGAAGGAAACGCTTTCCCCCCACAATGCTAATGGCCTGCCTCACCTCCACCGAGCGCTCCTGAGAGCTGACAAAAACTGGGATAAACTCTGGGGAATCACTGGGAAATTTTGGTTAACATATCAAAAAATGGTCGTTAAATGGATTTGTATATATTTTTACTATATGTTCATGTCTTGTCATAGGATTTAAATGGATTTCCAAAACATGAACATGAACATGACAAACAAACCGAATCCCGCGGATGCTCAATCTGGGAGATTGGGATCCGAAAAAGAATGACAGTAACAAGATGGCGAGATTGACCCGAAGAACTTCAATCATAAAATAAATCATGTTAAATCCCATTAAATTCATTTTAAATCAACATGCCATGATTTGGAGCAAGAGCTTAGGAACTACCGTTCACTTGGATTGAAGTTTTTCCGTGGTTACTTCCGGGCAAAATCTACCAAGCACAGAGTGTCCAGCGAGTGAGTTGTAGCCTGATGAAACACCCCCATTCGATGGTCACGAATTTGTGTTCCAATCCCCTAAACCACGGTTTCTGGGGTGTGTTGCATAATGAATATGGTATGGTTATGACATGGTTCATCCGGTGGTAAGTGACGATTTGAAAGCCTAAAAAACTACAGAGAAACTACAGAAAATCACTGAGGCCCCCGCCGCAGCATTGCACGCCTCCCCTGCCGTTGATGCAGCCGGCCAAAGTGGGGATGCCGGCGGGGGTTAACTTTGGACAATGCAACACGACACAGCCGTTTTTAGGACATGATATCTAAGGAGAATTTGACGGTTAAAGGTCATGTGTTTAACTTTAAAGACCTCTACGTATACTGTATTCTGATATGATCTCATATGTGCACTTGCCAATCCTTGATGGAAGGGGTGTCATTCAAAACCAGCCCCGTTTTTTTTCTTAGGACTTCCCAAATTTGGCCAACTGGTCCCAACGCAGATTGCACAAATCTCTGCAGGCAGATTTTTTTTCTTCAAGTCATGTAGCCCAGTCCCAGCAGCAGTCTGCACTGCTCATAGATCAGGCTACCGACAGTGAAGGTCGGCGCTAGCCTAGGGTGCTGCACCCTGCTGCAGCTTGTACATATCTATGTGTGATGTGCATCGCAGTTCCAAGAAATATTATAATTATCAAATGGAATGATTGGAAATGCGTTGTGGAAATCGGACGCATTACGATAAGTACAGGTACAGCATTGCTCCCATCAGCAGTTGTCGGCACATTTAGTTAAAACATGTTCGCCCCAACCCGGACGTTGCTCCACACTTACAATCGTCGTCATCATCATCATCATCATCATCATCACCATCACCATCATCATAATCATCAACTTTATCTTCATGAGGCATCAAAATTTGCCACCCCCTATGAACAATATGTTGACTGGGGTAATAACATCAACTTTATCTTCATGAGGCATCAACATTCGCCACCCCCTATGAACAATATGTTGACTGGGGTAATAGCATCAAATTTATCTTCATAGCCACCTGAAGTCAGACGCGGAGCAACGTCAGGGTTGCAGCCAACATGTTCAAACTGGTCAACGTTAAACACAACAATGGATGATATGGATGTGTGTTTCTATTATGAGTAAAATTTCACTTACACATGCCATATCTGCAACAACTGCCGAAGCTAACTCCCATTATTTTATCTGATTTCGCTTGGTCGGACACCATACAGTAATTATTTGCTTGATAATTTTGATAGTCTCCAAACATCTCCAAACCATTTCCTCCCTGGAAAACAAAAGAACGATCAATGATCCCAAGTTGAAGCTGATATATATATACCTACTGAATCCAAAACCCAAAATTTTGTGGGTTGAAAACAAATTACCGGGTTTTCCTGCGTAATTCCAAAAAAACCTGGTTATTTTTAAAAAACCTGGTTATTTCCCATATACTGGTTTTATGATGATTTATGATGATTTATGATTCATTTAGCATATTTCAACAACATCATGTATGGTTCCACTGAGGCTTTGTGGTTCTTTATGAAGTTGATTCTGCTAGCATCTGCGCCCCATCGGATGAAAGAAAGCACTTGATCAATGGAAATCAAAATCATAAGCAAATATTATTTGATATGACCCCAAGATAGGAACCTCAGGAATTTGTTGGGCTTACTTTATGATGACCCTAAGTTACTTACTGGAACAATCAAGGAGGGGTCCCACTACCCATACCTGAATTTGTAATGGACCATATCTCTGAATTCAATCGTCAATGAAATTTTGATCTATCACCTGCTTTGGCCTGTCCCCTTGCCTTCCATGGCCTCCATGTGGCGACAACATCGCCCTTCCCTATGTGGGCATCGCCCTGCGCAGCTGGGATCCCCAATTTTTTTTACTGCTGGGCAGGCGGTGACAAGTCTTTGGTTGGCTGCTTGCAGCCTTGGATGCACAAACCAGGCCCCACAGGAAAGGCATGACCTGTGGGTTTTCTTTACATCGGGTTGGATATTCAATTTTTGATATGGTTGTATGGGATTAGGACAGGAACTATGATATTGTGATCTATCTGCGGGACCCTTCGTCACGACAGCTTTTATTTTGTAAAACCCATAGCCGTTTTGGCCCAATTCTTTTTGCAGTGTTTCAGCAGTGCAACTTGGTGCAACATGGACTGCACAGGTATGGCGCTGTCTTGGGAACAAAACCCTGATGTGCGTTCCCTGGTTAGGAAGAACCAAAAGCTTCTGGTCTACCCAGAAGGTGCCAAAGTTTGTGAGCCCACTCGCTCCAATTGTGTTCAGAATGAACACATGCTTCGCCCTTTGCTTCACAAGTTGTCCCGAACCCCTGCATGGCATTTGCCGCACTTGGATCCCCTTCAAATCGAATTGGCTTTGTTGTCTGAGAAACTAGGAGTCAGAATCGGTGACAAAGGGGTTTACGCCCCGGCAGTGGAACTGAAGAAGTTGCTATCTTTCATCAAAAGACGTGTGCGGCGCAAGGAAGTCACGAAGGAATCGGGCCAAGGGTTGGTGAACCATGGTGCTTGCCATGAACATTTACATAATAGTATGGTTTAGTTTAGAATTAAGACATATCTTAAGGGATATTGTCTACAATATTTGTAATTTGCGTGTACATCTTTCAAAATTTACACATTTTACACATGTGAGCCCAGATCCACATCAAGGGGACATGCATTGCTTTAAGAAATATGCATGGATCTGTTCCTATTGACTTGGGTGCCCTGTCAGGATGTCCGATTTCATCAGCTTCTCCTACTGCTGGACCCATCGATCAAGGATTGGGAGGGGTTCCAAACCATCCGGTCTGACGAATTCTTTGATACTTTGAACATCCTTGAACATATACGTGCATACAGGTTGCTTAGGTCTCCCCTTTCCTTTGTCATTGTTTTTGGGAGACAATGGAAAGATCTCATTGCCCACAAACGTACAGGACTACATCGACAACTACATGGAGACCGCCAAGTCATCCAAGAGCACTGGCTCGCCGGGTGGTGATGAGATTGATGAAAACTTTGAGGATGAAGATCGCCAGTCCCAGGAAGATTTTGTGGAGTTTAAGCGTTGGTTGGTTCAGGGGAGCCCTGCCAGGCCATCTCCTGTTCCTAGTTCATCGGGCAGTGGTTCAACCAAAGGTAGATCATCGGATGTTTCTATGCCATCGGGCAGTGGTGTGAAAGGTGGATCATCGGATGTTTCTATGCCACCACCCGCCCCGCCAATGGTTGCTGGATGCAAGTGCTTCAAGAACCCATGTGACTTTCAATGGAATTCAAGTCTATGTTTATGTCGATCTTACAATAAGGAGAATTCAGTGTTACATACATGGTTACTCTAAAGTTTAAAGCATCTTAAATTAAATTCCCAAGAACTTAGGTACCAATCCCCACTGCCACATCAGCCCTTGTCCCAAGGTATCTGCGAGAGACTGAAGGAGGTGAAGGCGATGATTGCCAAGAAGAAGGCGCTTCTTGAGCAGCAGCGGCTGGCGAATGAGCCACATCCTTAGATCATCAGTCGCAGTGCATTATCGTGTCAGTACGTTATCAAGTGGAATTTTAAAAAAGGAACCAAGTTCAAAACATAATCAGTATAATATCCCAGGTCACCATACATGAATTATAATAGGTTTATAGTTTGCATACCTCACGCAGTGCCTTGAAATAATTGATAATACTGGCTTTCTCATTCAGGTTCAACACTTTGATTCCCCACCATTTGTTTTCCAGTGTGTTTGTTCATGTTTGTTCCATACAAAAAGCTCGACACTTGAGGAGTAAGCCTTTATCGGGTGCTTCAAGTTCGATCGGATCATCAGGCCCCAGGGGATTGAGTCGAACAGGGGTTCTGGATATTTGTGTAATAATCGCACCATATGTTTGTTCCCTCAAAAACTTGGTATGGTCATGTATAGTTTCCACTGGTCTGATTTCTTCACTTAGTTTCTGAGGCAAGGTCTAACACGGACAGGAGACCATAGAGTGGGATGTTTCTTTGGCACATGGCACTCTGAAACAACGACCTTTTAGTTTTCAGGAGGCTGTTCAAAATAAAGTCTTACTTCCTTAGCACTTTCCATGGACTTTTTGAATATAGTTTTGCTCAGGACAATATATACGGTATGTGACATTTAGAAACATATGTTTTCTTCTGCTGCCTGTCAGGCAGTGGCGCTACCAAAGTGGCAAGTGATGTGGACGAGACCTTACCGCTGGAGAACCCTGGGGAAGCAATTCAGGCTGCAAAGGCTGCTGCAGATTCTCTTGAGGTCCCAGATACCCAACCCCGACCTGACTTGGATGATATCTTTTCCGATGCCATGCCCAATGAAACCTGGTTGCCAAAGGATGAACCTGATGTTGGAAAGGAAAGAAAGGCTTGGTTTGACCCAAAAACAAAAATATATCAAAGTGGAACACGCTGCATAACCTATCCACTGTTGTGCCGTCTTTGGCTGAAAAAAATACCAAGGTTTGTTCCTCATTGGCATTGGTTGTAGAAAGTAAAATTATTTGGTGGTTTCGGTTTGCTACCTTGCCCCTTACAGGTGCTCACGCGACGTGACCAGCTCAAGTTCAAGGAAGAGAAGCAGAAGAATGAAAACCCAGAGGATGCATGTGATGACACCAAGGAGGAGGATGGGGAGGAACCAGAGCCAGCACCAAAAAAAAAGGTTCGTGCCAACGCAAAGAAGGCAAAGGGGGAAGGCAAGGCAAATGGAAAGGCGAAGGCCAAGGATAAGGCAGAGACCAAAGCAAAGGTGAGCAAGGGCAAGAAAAAACATGAGCCAGGGATGGATGAGGAAGGTGATGATCAACAAGAGGCTGAACAAAAGGTTAAGGTTTCTGATGACTTTCCAATGGAGGAAACACAGGAAGCTTCAGATGCTGAAATCAACAATGTGAAAACCCCCAAGAAGACCCTGTTCCAGTCCGACGATGAATCCGATGATGGCAATGATGGGATGCCCACCCCGATCACCAAGTTTATCGACCCAACGACAGGTGAGGAAAGAACACTTCAGGAGATCTTTGACAACTACGTGCCAGCAGCTTGGAAAAGGTCAAAGGGACAAAGGAGCAGTGACGACTCTACCAAACCTGGCCCACCAACCCCGAAGGCAAAGTCCAGAGCAAAGGCTAAGGCCAAGGCAGGGAGCAAGGTACCTGAGAAGAAGGCTGCAGCCAAAGTGAAAGCTGAGGCCAAAGGGAAGGCAAAGAGCAACCCAAAGAGCAACCCAAAGAGCAAGGCAAAGAGCAAGGCAAAGAGCAAGGCACAGGATACCCCCAGCCCCAGCAAGCGAGTAATGGCATCCCCGGCAATCAAGAAAGAAATCAAACGTCGCAAGAAGCAAGACGCCCAGGCTATGGCAGAACAGGCACAGGACATGAAGGATCACATGATGCAGGGGATCTTCGTTCAGAAGATCAAAAATGTGGTGGGGTTGGAGTGGGAAGAATGCAAGGAAATGCTGAAGGAGAAAGACTGTCCGATGTACCCCATGACTTACCTCTCAGCTTACTGGTCCCGACAGGCAGTGGCCGTAGTCTTGAGGGATGACAAC